CGTTTCTGTAATGTTTTTTGGACCATATTAATCAAATCCAAATTTGGTGGGTGCCCGGAATGCAACATGGATCAACTAATTAGAATTTGTGGTCAATAATCAAATCAAGTTTTGGGCATTGGCAATTATATAATATATATTTTTATCTTGGCAAAAAAACTGAGACATCAAATCTTGAGGTCTAATGAAATGTACCCTCTTTTCACGCTTAAAGATAAAAGTTCGAGCCGAGAACCTAATAATTATTTCAATTACACAATTACATATTTAGATTCTTATTTTTTTACATTCTATCAGCCGAGAACTTAATAATTTCGTCTGATTATAAAATTATATGTTTAGATTTTCATTTTTTTTTGAAAAATATTGAACACCATTTATTCTTATAAGCAATGTTTTATACCCAAAGTATTAATTAAATTATATATATATACACACACACACACACAATGATGAAAAGGTTTCTTAGATGCCCTCTTCTTGGGTGCATGGCCCAACAAAATTGATATTTGTTGCAACTAACACATATATACTACCAAAATCATGCCATATCGGCTTTACTGCTTCAATTTTGAACTTTTGAAAAGTTTGTTCCATGACAATGCCATGTGCCTTCCCCCACCTCCAAACTTTGTCACCATCTTTTTTACCATAAAAAAAAATAGAGTTCACTGCATGTTGAAACTTCAATTCCCATTTTTATCCCTCTCGTTATACATGTTACATACATATAAATATCTATACAAATAAGACATAGACATACGTATATATTGAAAAATCAAGTGAACTTCATAGTACTTGGTTATTTTTTATAGTAATAATTTTTTTTTAGTACTCATTTTTTGTCATTCTAAATTATTGGCCGGATTGAATGTATTTTTTTATTAGTCGTGCACAGTAAAAGTTAAGGATGATTTCCCATAAAACATCACGCTTTAAATTTGAGCTCTCATTTTTATAATCTATCAACTAATATAAATTTAATGAAGTTCCACATATCATACATTTATATATATATATATATATATATATATATATATTTATTTATTTAGTTAGATGAGTTGGTATTTGACATGCAGAATGATGTTGATCCATAAAAATACTTAATTAATCATAAGCTCGGCAAAATTTGACACTAATAATAAACGAGCTATAGTAAAGAATTAAAACTGACATTAAGAGAGAGAGTGTGTGTTTAGGATCAATACAAAAGAGATTGTATATATATATATATATAAAGGAGTAGAAGACTTTACTAATCCGATTATGCAAGCAAAGTGAAAAGTCCACGTACACCAAACAGAGTAGGCATCAGATATTTTAATTAATTGTAAAGAGGGTGTTGACTTGATTAATTAATTTAATGAGGTAGATAAAAGTTGTGACAAACAGGTTTTAATTAATTAGAAAGGGAAAAAGAAATAAAGAAAATTTCATGGCGTGAACGTTGTAGGGGGCTATGTAGTACGTGGAATAGTCGTAAGTTGTAGACAGTGATAGAACAAAATCGAAAACTTGTTTCCATTAAAACAGTGACCTCCTACCTGTTAGCTGATCGGCCCATTTGATGGCGTGAACGTTGTTGGGGGCTATTTAGTACGCGGAATACTGGTAACTTGTAAAAGACAGTGATAGCACAAAATCGAAAACCTTGTTTCCATTCAAACAGTGACCTCCTACCTGTTAGATGATCGGCCCATTTCGAAGCCACGGACAGCTTCGTGCTTTCCCCATTACAAATCTGACACTTGACACCATCTTCCCTCACCGACACTCCTCCAAAACCAAGAATGTGTCGGACTTATCTAAATGAACCCGTCAGAGTCCAAATGGACCCATTATTAAAATAAAGAAATACAGATCAATCACATATAATAAGAATATGTAGATTTTTATTTACGGGTTTAAATAAAAGACACAATATTTTAGGATAATATAACAAGTATGAAAATTATCAAAATATTCTTTAAAAAATTTGGAATAAATTTTGATATACCATATTTATCAGACTCTACGCTATCCATCACCCATTGTCATTGAATCAGGATTTATAGTGATGGACCAAGACCAAACACAATTATATAATGAAGCCAATTTTCTGAACATGAATTTCTCAAGTATTTGAGAGTATGACAAGGAAAATCTTTGATGGACAAATTTTCCTTTGTGATGGCATTGTCACTTTGTCTCAGCCAATTGACCTGTTCTTGAGAGGTTACGTGCATAATTCAAACCAGTGATAATACAACACATGCACATGCACATACAAACATTCAAAAGCAAAACTCAATTATGAATTAAGATTCCCAATCTTTCAATATTTCCCAAGAAATACAAAAGATTATGTTTATGGCCCTATATATATATATATATATATAACAGATTAGTGATTTGATGTCTCAATTAGTGAGTTGTGGACGTTGTGTTGTTGGCCCAAGCGTACCACATGGCTTGATATAAGTACGTTGTCATCCCCAACTGCATGCCAAAGAGTTTGCCGGTGTCAATGAGTACGGGTGACCAACAAGGTGGTAGACAACTCCAAGTTTACAACTGTTTGGCATCAGTAGTAGCACATGGTACACGACTTTGCAATTCTATGCTGATCACCAAGATCTAATTCTATGCATTATGCTCCTAATAATGATTATATATATGTGTGTGTGTGTATATATATATATATTTGTTTTACTGGTTCATGAATTATAATTAATGTGTTTGATAAGTGGATGTGAATTAAGAGAATTCCCCATCTAAGTAGGAATCTAGGTTCAAAACTATATCAAAGGTTGAAAAGATTTCACATGGTTTATGGCAACTTATAATGACTTCCCTTAATGTTTGGATTTAGATCTCATAACGGTATATGTTCAAATTACCAAATTAGTTATATTTCTCATTTCATAAAAAGAAGAGAATGATCCATTTACAAATCCTTACTTTTAACTATGGGTCTAATTGGTTTGTAACTCTGAGAATAAAATAAAAAATTGTACAAAAAAAATTTACTTGGTTTAGTTTTCTAAAAATTCAATTATAAAAAAACATATTTTTAGATAACTATCTTTTATAATTATCTGAAAACAGTTTTTTGTTATCTGAATTCTTAAGAACTGTTTTCAGAACTACAAACCAAACATACCTATATTTATTGCTTTTTGAGTTTTTTTTTTTAACAAGTAATGCTTAACCATTAGTCTAATGGGGTGGAGCTCCATAGTTTTATTTGTGGGTGTGTGTGAACATTTACCTAACAAAAATAAATAAATAATAAAAAGAAGGAAAAAGGTAATGCTTAATCAATTGTTTAAAATGACCACAAATTATCAATTTGAATTCTTTTGTGAATTAAAAACAATTAACAATATAATATATAATGTTTTTTTGGCCAGTAGCCAGCCTTAGTTTGCACCTATTATATGTAACTAATCATCTGTGGATAAATGTTACCACCTGAATGCGTATCCTTTTAACATTGTCCACAGCTTTAAAATGGTGTTCCCGACCGGCTTCCGCGACGCAATCGGACGGATCAGAAACATAAATTTCTCAAGTTCAAGACTAACAAATTTCCATGCCATGAATACTTTGGTTACTCCCAATGTCCATAGGGGCCATTTTGAGCTTGCTTGCCTTGGATTCAAAAGGAACAATCCTCTTGTGAGGTAGGGGATGTTATAGGGTTATATGTTTGGACAAACTACTCAATGTTTATTACTTTAATCTCTCCTTTAGATTTGGCTAGCTCAAAATGTTAATGTTATTATTTCAATATGGGAGTACTTTACCCTGGGGAACACCAATTCTATCTGTGAAGAAGAAAGATGCTCGAGCATGACGCATCGAAAGTTGAAAAGTTAATTTTAATTGAAAAGCATATAAACACCTAAAAAATAGCTCAATCTCGCTTCAATAATTGGTCGTCTCTACATGTTATGATAATTTTGCCTCTCAAGCCAGTGGTGGTTCATGATGAATTCAACTGAGAAAAAACCTGAAATTTAGCACAGAATGCACAGGTGACTGTGAATGGCTTTTGCCAAAAGGATACATCTTAGTCAACACCCTGAATTAGTTACTTATTGAATAGTGACCAAATGCTCCAACTTGTTTATGACTTGGGGCAAAAATACAGCAACAAGATGAGGTTGTGGACATATTGGGACCCTTTCTCAGAGATCTTCTGATTTGTTACTTTGTTTTTTTTCAGTTGATGTCCAATATTACTGCATCCTCATAATAGCTCTTTACCTTCCAAATTTTAGCTTGCAACTTAGTCATAGGTTAGAGTATTACCGGTTAACGTAGTTAGTAGAATGTCCAACTCTTCAAACGAGGGAGTATCTTCGGTTTTAAGTCTCCCTCCCCAATTTGTCAAGATGGTAAAAAAAAAAAACCCTTAGGCATAGGTTGTAGGATCAACTAGAGGTTTAAAGATACTCCTGAATTTGGTTTAGATAGAGTATAGTTAAACTCGAATCATAGATACTCTCTAATTATTTAATCCTTCTAACCAAGGTCAACCTAATTGCAATTTTTTCAAGTTAAAACCGAACAACAAGAAAAGGTATGCCTCGTATCCAACAAAAAGAGGAGTTGAATTAGGTTAAATGCATGTTGAAGATGACGATTAGGTGGTGTGCCAGTAAAATGTGAACCTCACTATGATGGAACTCAAACTCCCATTTATATATATATATATATATATATTCTTCATCTCCCCATTTAGATGATGTACTTAATTAAAATTAAGCACCAGTAATGTAATTTACATGTTACCATGAGGATGAAGGTAAAGAAAGATAAATTAACAGATTAGATTATATATTTTAATAATTTTTCTGAAGTCAATGTGTGAGATAGTTCTGTAGCTTTAACTCCACCTGGGTGTCACTTAGCATAGATGCTATATTCCTCTAATTTTTCATTACTTAAATTATAAATGCACTGTAAGACTTGTCACTGCTAACATTAACACAAGTGGGAGAGTCGTAGATAAATATTTAGATGGGCCTAAGGTTGTACATCAATTTCATTTTATGTCTCTCTAATTTAATACATTTTATAAGGTCTGACCGGAGCATGTTAGTGAAGTAGTTTGGTTTTTTTGTTGAGCTGTGTCTATTAGCACTTGCATCAATTTTTAACAATTTATCATCACATGGTTCTCTCATTTTCATAAATCTCAGTTACTCTCTCTCTAGACAGAGATGTGGTGGGATCACTCTGAGACATCATGAGCTCGTCTCCAAGCTCTGATCTCCATTTATGGTGGAAAATTCTGTCATTTTTTCTTCTTCTGGTTAGATCCTTTGGGCTCAACACAGATGGAATTCTCCTACTCTCTTTCAAGTACTGTGTTCTTGGTGACCCTCTGGGTGTTCTAGAGAGCTGGAATTACAACGATGAGACACCATGTTCATGGAATGGTGTTACATGTGGTACTCCGGGCAATTCTGATGCGTATTATCGAGTCACCGGCTTGTCTCTCCCCAATTCTCAGCTTCTCGGTTCCATTCCGGCCGATCTCGGTTTGATCCAAAACCTCCGAAACCTCGATCTTTCCAACAATTCGATCAATGGGTCTATTCCTTCATCGCTTTTCAACGCCTCTGATCTTCAAACACTTGATTTCTCCAATAATCTTATCTCCGGGGAGCTGCCGGAGCTCGTCGGTGGACTAGGGAGTCTTGAGGTTCTTAACCTCTCCGACAACGCTTTCGCGGGAAAAATCCCGGGAAATCTAACCACTCTCCGTAATCTGACTGTTCTTTCCTTGAAAGGCAATTACTTCTCTGGTAGTCTTCCAAGTGGGTTTGATTCTGTTGAAGTTGTAGATCTGTCTTCGAATCTGATCAATGGGTCGTTGCCTCCGAATTTCACCCAAGGCAACAATCTCCACTACTTCAACGTCTCCTACAACAGGCTCTCCGGCGAAATTCCACCGGAATTCGCAGACAAAATTCCGGCGAACGCCACTCTTGATCTGTCATTCAACAATTTCACTGGAGAGATTCCGGAATCACCTGTTTTCTTCAACCAGGAAACGAAATCATTTTCTGGAAATCCGGAATTGTGCGGTAGACCACTCGGGAAATTATGCCCAATTCCTTCCACCGCCTCTTCTCTGCCCAATGTCTCTGCACCAACCACTTCTCCGCCGGCAATTGCAGCGATCCCGAAGACCATAGATTCAACTCCGGGGAGCACTTCACCCACGTCAATCAACGGGTCGGAGCGGAAAGGGCTCCGACCCGCAACAATTGTCGGCATCGTGATTGGAGATTTAGCTGGAATCACGATATTTGCACTGATTTTCATGCACCTGTACCGGTTGAAGAAAAAGAAGAAGAGCGTTACAGAGACGACGAAGAAGAAGAGTAAAGACAAAAACGAAACTGAAATGAGGAAGGATTTCGACTGGTCATCGTCCTCCGAAGAATCTAAATGGATTCGTTCTTGGGCTTGTTTGGGAAAACGAGCAAACGATGGCGAAGAAATGTCTCGGACAACGAGCTCGGACAGTGAAGAGGTTGAAGAAGGGCAAAACAGTCATGATAGAAATCAGAATCAACAACAACAAAAAGAACAGAGAGGGTCGCTCGTGACGATCGATGGAGAGAAGGAGTTGGAGCTGGAAACATTGTTGAAGGCTTCGGCGTATATATTGGGTGCTACTGGTTCGAGCATAATGTACAAGGCGGTGCTTGAAGATGGGTCGGCACTGGCGGTTCGGAGGATCGGAGAGAGCAGTGTGGACAGGTTCAGGGACTTCGAGAACCAGGTCCGAGTCATTGCGAAATTGGTGCACCCCAACCTGGTTCGGATTCGTGGGTTCTACTGGGGGACTGACGAGAAGCTTGTTATCTATGATTTTGTTCCCAATGGCAGCCTCGCCAATGCACGTTACAGTGAGTCCTCTCTCTCTCTCTCACACACACACACACACTCTGTTTAAGTGCGCATTTTAGTGAATATTATAGTTTTTACTAACATACGCTGGCGGTGGGAAACCACATACTCGCCAGTCCTCATGACCAGTGTGATGGACTTTCTACCTCTTTTTCATTGAAAACAGAGGGTTGAGAGAAAGTCTTCAATGTCAATGTGTGCGTTATTTACTTATTGAAAATATATATATATATATATATATAAGGGATCAATTATTTGTAAGAAAAAATAAAAAATTTGTATATATATTTAAAAGGGATCAATTATTTGTAAGAAAAAATTAAAATTTTGTTTTGTTTTTTTTTAAATTTTATTGTTGCAATTGGTAAATTTCATTATTAAAGTGGGTGATATAGTGTGCCGTTTGAGGCAATTAAACCTCTGCCTTCTTGCCCTCAAAGGCTCAACCCAACATAGAATCTGTCTCTCCAAAAAAGGCAAAAAAAACTAGTCCGGTGCGCACGCTAACAGATTCACTGTATTTTAGGAAATTTTTGATGTAAATTGGGCCGCGACCGCGACGAGACGGTGGAGTAATTGAGGGTTATATTAACTTGTAAGTTCGTGAGTGGAGGTTTGTATTGAATGGCACTGTCTCTTTGCTCGTGTTGTTAATTACAAGTCTTGGCCCACGGCGCTTGATAGCGATAACCCAGCATAATGCGCCAATAGAATATGATCTAGCGCACATATTTTAGACATGCATGGCTAATTTTTTGGTACGAAAGATTTGAACTTTATTTGAATGTAATTTCAGAGAAAGTTGGCTCATCTCCTCGTCATTTACCATGGGAAATGCGGCTCAAGATAGCAAAAGGGATAGCTCGGGGGCTAACGTACATCCACGATAAGAAGCATGTGCACGGTAATCTGAAGCCCAGCAACATCCTATTGGGCGAAGAAATGGAGCCGAAAATTGGAGATTTAGGGTTCGAAAGGCTCGTATCGGGTGAAACTAGTTACAAAGGTGGTGGATCGGCCCGAATTTTTGGTAGCAACAGGTCCACGGCCTCTCGTGACAGTTTCCACGACAACACCCCAAGCCCAAGCCCAAGTTCTTTCGGCATTTCGCCTTATCAAGCACCCGAATCACTTAGGAGCCTCAAGCCCAACCCAAAGTGGGACGTTTTCTCATTTGGCGTGGTGTTGCTCGAGTTGCTAGCTGGGAAGGTCATCGTTTCAGATGAAATGGGCCTTGTGCCCACCGGGTTGGATCTTGACGAGAAGGCCCGGGTTTTGAAGATGGCTGATGTGGCGATTCGTGCTGACATGGAAGGCAAGGAGGATGCCTTGTTGGCACTCTTCAAATTAGGGTTAAGTTGTATATCTCCGGTCCCACAAAAAAGACCACCAATGAAAGAGGTGCTACAAGGTCTTGAGAAGTTCCCATCGTCTTCATTATCTTCGTCGTCTTCTTCAACATACCATTTTATGGTCACCAATAATGAAAAGTGGACCCAATTGTAGAGAGCTATCTGTATGATTGACTGATAGTTTGTTTTCTTATGTTAATTAGATCCATTTGATCGTGAGAGGGTTTCTCATGTAATTGTCTAAGATCATGATTGAATCTTGTTGCGTCACTTACTTGTTATGTGAAAAGTTTTTATGTAGTAGTTTTTTAAGATTCATGCATCTTATTTCCAATTAATCTAAAAATTTGGAGAGAATTATAATATTAATTTTACTCTGAATAAATTATACAACTGACTATTGTGTGAGTGGTATGACCGTGGTGAACTTTCTCTCCAGAAAAAGTAATTTATCTCTTTAAAAGAAATGTTAAGAGTTCGAGTTTAAATAGAGAGATATAAGTGTTTAAAAAAAACTTAAGTTATACTAGACGTGAAAGTAAGTAAAAGAATGTGAAATGAATGAAAGAAAAATAAATTTTCCCACATTATGAAAAAAAAACTCAAAAGAATTATAGAAAATTACATTTTTAAAAAAATTAAACTTTAACATTTGGCTGTGATGTTTTTTGTACAGTGAGGTTTTTTTTGTTTTTTTTTTTGGAATTTCCACATTTACAAAAAGAACATATTATTGAAATTTCACAATAAATGGAATGTCTTTCTTTAATCTTCTAGGAAACAAAAGAGAAAAGGGTAGTTTAACCAAATTTATAAAATATATAAAATAAAATAAATAGGCATCAATACACATCATGAAACAAATTTTAAGATGTGTAACCGTTTTTATTTGTTAAAGGCTCACTTTCCCTCCTTCATATATTCTGCTTACCTTTTTTTTTTTTTCTTCCCCAAATAATCCTGGTTACCTTTTTTTCTCTCTCAAATTATAAAACTTACATTAAAAAAGGAAAAATTATACTTAAGTAGTGTTAAGAATTTTAAATTACAAAGTAGTCTATTTTTAAAATATAATTTTCACTTAGGCAAAATAATTATTCTCAATCCATAATTAAATATGGATTGAAAATAATTATTTAAGTTTAAAATGTTCTCAACCACTTATTTCAAAATAAAAAATTGTCCTTCTAAAACAAAATAATCCCTTCACTCAATAATTCTTTTATTGTGAGGAAAAAACTTTTTTACTTATGTTGGCTTCTGATTTTCTAAAGAAAGACCAGTAGACTAGTGTAACGATGAGAAAGTACAACGATATAAGTTTGTGACTGAAAAATCTGCATAACAAGGAATAAACTAAAGATGAAATATACAGCTTGGCTTCTCATACAACTGTAACTCGGGCGGATTGGACGGGCTTGGCATTCATTTCGAATTAGGCTCATATAGAAAATCTTCAGTCCAAACCCAACTTTAAACTCGAGCCGAGCTGCCTAAGCCCAACCCATACATAATTTGTCCAGCCTGAGCCCACACTAAGCCTACCTTAGATTAATTTTTTTTAAAATAAATCAATTAATTTTTTTAAGTATAAATACCAAGCACACTACCAACTTAGCAACTACACCCTTGTGACTTAAGTATAATTATAAATATATATAATATTTTCGAGCTCGGGTTGAGTTTCGGGTTTCTTCCATATCAACCTAAGCCCAGCCCGAATTGAATTCAGACTCAAAATATATAACTCAGGCCCAAACCGAAATTAGAAAAATATTGTCCAAGCCCACTAAATTTCGGGGCTCGAATTATTTCGGGCTGGGCCCACCCGAGTTGCAGTCCTAGCTTCTCATATTCTTTTATGTTATTAGCTTATTCTTTTTTTAAAGAAAATCTTGTCCGTTGATATTTATAGGTAGCATTTAATAGTACGTGGTAGTTGATTTGGGTATGATTTATTATCTTTAATCTGATTTATTATTTTCTCCTATCTTAATGTCCATCCAAGTCACACAATTCTTCTCAACAGGTGTCGCTCTCACGCTCCATGCGAGCTCTAGCTCTCACGCTCTACACGTGCTCTGTCTCAAATTTTCACTATTTATAACTTAATTATTCCGCTCTCACGCTCCCGCTCTCAAATTTACTCTCTCTTCCGCTCCCGTTTTATCTGACTTTGTGTCCATTTAAGTTTACACTTTATTTTCTCATAGAAAAATTTTAGTAACTCAATCAATTTTTTGGCTTATGGAGGACTAGAAGAATCTTCTAGGTGATATTAGCTTTAAGGGGATCCTAATTTAGAAGGTAGATTGATGCTATGTGTTCGGCTCTCTTAGCCCAGGCCTGTGTGAAGGACCCCTTACCCACCATGAAAGACTTTTTGAGGGCTCTTTCAAGAATTTTTTAAATATTTTTTTCTTTTTCTTTTTCTTTCTCATTCCCCTTATCAGAAACAAAGCAAGACAAACAATTGTATTTTGCACAAATTTGTATGTATATGGGTGGCATTATATTCCTTATATAATTTGTTTATTTTTTTAATGAGACAAGTGCTGAAAACATCCCTCAAATATATTTCGTGAATAACTTTTATCTTCTATTTAAAAAAGTGTGCAAAAAATACCCCTAATCTTTTCATATTGTGCAAAAATACCATTTAATTAGAAATCTAACATAAATTAGTGTTGTAATATCCGTTTTGCCCTTTTACTTTTTAAAAAATGCCCAGAGAGATCTATATGTTACTAATCTCATAGTATATGAGTGTTATGTGCACATTACCTCTTCTCTTTTTTTTTTTGAAACTTTTTTCTCTATATATATCTCTAAATTTTATTTTTTTTTAATTTTTTTTTAACTTTGAGAATTTGTGTAGAATAAAGATTTGAATTTTTTGAGATTTCAGTTTACTGTTTTTCTACTAAATTTTTTTCTTTATTTTATTTTTTTGGTATCAAGATTATTAAAAAAAAAAATAAAAATTCACAATATCAGTGTGTACTAGTTTTCGGAGTTGAAGTAGATTTGTTTTCTTTGGTTTGCACTTTATTTTTCATTTTTTTTTTTTCTATTTTTCTATTTAGATTTTTTTATACTTTTATTTTTATTTTCTATTTTTATATTTACTTGTCCATTGTTGGCGTCTTCCAAAAGTGTATTTTTCAATCATTTTACAAAATTATTTATTTTTATATATTTTATGAAATGGTTCAATAAGGTTAATTTAGTCAACTTAGGGTTTAAATTTGTGAGAGGGACCTATTTGCATGAAATTGAAACTTTAGGAGTGTTTTTTATACGTGAGGGACGGTCTCCAACAATGTCATTTTCGGTCATTTTATAAATAAAAAAAAATTATATATATTTTATAAAATAGTTTAGTAAGGGTAATTTAGTCAACTTAGAGTTTAAATTTGTCATATGGATCAAATTAAAATTTTAGGAATATTTTTTTCACACGAGGAGTGTGATATGTACTGTAAACATACTTTCGAGATATTTTTTGCACTTGACCCTTTTTTTTATTTGCAATGTAAATTATCTTTCTTTTTCTCGTATGAATAGAATAGTTATCATATAGAAATGGTCATCGTGATCCAAACAATTTCAATATTGGAACAAGCAGTTGGTAAAAATACAAACTCCCAGCCGTTTGTTTTTTTTTTAGTTTTTTATTTTTATTATTATTTTTTTTTTAAAAAAAAAGAAAAGCTTCGACATTTTGGATACGAATAATGATTTTCAATCAATGCAAAATTCTAATTCAACCAAATTGAAAGCTATACTTTAAAAATAGATCATTTTGTAATTTAGAACTTTTAACTCTACTTAAATGTATTTTTTCTTTAAAAAAAACCCTTTCATAATCAAATCAAACATCTAAAGGAGCTCCACATAATCTCATAAAGTTGCCAATTCCATACAACAAAACATCGGTCCTCACTAACAGATTTCTTTTTAATAGATACTTAGAGCATCTCCAATCGTTGTGTATATTTTTTTGTGTAAATATGATGTGTCATGATGGATTTATACAAAAAATTTGAATTATTTAATTTGAACTCCAACGGTTGTTTTATACTTTTTGTGTAAACATATATCTCCCAATAATAATTAGCCATGTGTCATGCTAGGACCTCACATAACTTTTACAAACTTGCTTAATATATGGTTGATTTTTTAATGGAATGAGAAAGAGTGATGAGAAAGGAAATATGTTAATCTGTCAGTGTAAAATGGTTGTGTAAAATATGCAATTCTTTTACACATTAGTGATGTGATAATGTATCTTAAAAAACTGTGGAAGTTGAAAATTTTTTATACATCAAAGGTGGCAGTTTATATTTTACATAAAAGAATATTTTCATATACCGCTAAAAATGCTCTTAGGAATTTTTGAATAATTATAGCATTACACCACATTCTGTGGTTCACGTAAACTTAACCACCAACTCACAGTACACTTAACTACCAACTCACATACCATATCATTAAAATCATCATGATATTTATCATTTCTCAAATAATTAAAATAGCATAAATGAAAGATAAAATAAGAAAAAATTGATTAAAATTATTTGAATATATTCAAATATATATTAAAAAAAATATGTGATTTAACTAAAGTCATAACATTTGATAAAGTAGAATAAAAAAATAAAATTCAAGCATCCAATCCCAAGTGATTGAAAAACCAACTTTGTTGAGTATTAGTTTTTGTGACTTATTCGATAATTCTCTTGATTGGTCTGATTTTATTTCTCCAGTGTAAGATGATTTGATATCTATATCTATCCGAAGGCACCAATATTTTAGACATAAAAGCCTTGTCATTTTTGGTATCTCCTAACACGTTAGAGCCTCCTCAATGGACTCTCATTGGAGCTCTCAAATTCAAAATATAAGAGTTAGGTAAAAAAACCCCTCCCCAATGGACTCTCATTTGAGTTCTTAAAATTTGAGATTCTCAAATCTCCTCTCACATGTAGCAGCTGCCAATTTTTTTTGGCAAGTCTCTCATTTTCCAATACGATGCCGTTTGGAATCACAATCTGAAACTTGCATCTCTTTCTCTCCTTGTCTATTGCAATATAGAGAGAGAAAAGTTCTAAGAAAATCATCCGATCTGAACCAGAGGAAGAAAATCGATGACGAAAAGAGGGTTACTGATGGACGTCGATTTTGATTTTGACAGTTCCTGACCGTTAGATCATATCTTCGTCTCCTCCAATTGCGATTTAGGGCAAGTTTGCAAGTTGCAGAGCGGGGGAGGCAAGCTTGAGAGTTGAGGACAGCGGCTGAAGCTTGCAAACGGCGAACCCGAACTGGAACAGCGGGCAATGGAAACTGAAAGATATGGGTTTTGAACTTCTGATTCTTGTTGATTTTGTAGTTTGCAGTTGCACGGAGGGGGGGGGGGGGGGGGGCAATTTTAGAGTTGAGAACGAGAGAATAAAGATGGAGGCGATCGGGGAGGCTGAAATGATTTGCCCTAAAAATATATATATTTTTAATAATAATATAATCAAATATATATAATATACATATATATATATATATATATATATATATATAATATATATGAATTTCTGAAAAAGAAAAAAAAATTTATATAATAATATAATCAAAAAATTTTTTTTTTTCCTTTTTTGACCAGATATTTTAGATTTTTGCTTCTTTTTAATTAGGTTTAATTTTAGTTTCCTTTTAATGTCTACAACTGGATTTGGAATGTGCAACATATTTAAATTACTGATGCAAATATGAATGGTGGGAATTGTTGTTGAAAAAGAATGGTGGTTGTGTCAAAAAAATCACATTTTGTATGAAATGCACCATTGGAGCAGAATTACTAAAATATAATATTTTGATACTGTAACATCTGTTAAAATATAAATTTGGCATGCGAAAATGACTTTTAACATTAAAAATGCTCTTATGATTGGTATATTGAATGCAAATATTTATAAACTAAATCATACATTATATGCATAGAAACCTCAAACCCTATGATTATATAATTATCAACTCTTAACGAGGAATATTAACGAATGTTCACACGGTGCCACGTCATGAAATTAACAACTCTGAGAGCATGGCATGTTATATAATTCGTAAGTTCCATAATCCAACAGTTTTATAATTAATCACATATTTTGCTTTGAATAAACAGATGATCAGTCACATGATATGATTTGATTTATTTATTATTGACAAATTCTTGCGGAGTTGAAAGAAATGAAATGACGCATGGATGCGTTTTCATGTCGTTTTCGTTAGTGTAGATATTTTTGGCTGAAATAATAAAAATCTTGTATTCTTCTTGTAAGTTTGGTCGTGGTTGTAAATATCAAGTACTGGACTGAGCAATAAAGTTTCTAACAATGACTTGACTAAAGTACTTTAATCTAGTTATTGAGTATGGACAAACACGTGCAGTATGAACGCATGGACCGACCAAATAAACTTTTTAACAATGGACTTGAGTTGCTAGATTATAAATTTAGAATGTACGAATGTTTTAATGAGAGCTACGTATTGAATGTTTTTACAAGAGCCACGTAACTATATTAAATACGAATATCAAAATTTTTAAATATATATATATATATATGTATTTAATATTTTTTAAACTTATAAAACATTGAAGCCACGTATTTATATTAAATACGTATAAAATATCAAATTTTTTTGGATACTTATGTATATGTATTTAATATTTTTTAAACTTATTTGTAAATTTAAAATATATTTTTTAATTTCTGACACGTATCCGATACTTTTCAGATGCTTAAATTACGTATTCAATACTTTTCAAATATTTCATAATACATTTTAAACAAATTTTGAACACTAAAATGTAACATAAGCAACAAAAATTACATAATATAACTATTATGAAAATTTTAAATTTTATTAAGTGATGAATATGAATGTTTTATGTGTTGTGAAATTAACTTTTATGTTATATTAATAAGTGTATTTAAATTCATAATATTACACTAAATTGTTATATTTCTGTGTCCGTATTGTATCTGTATCTTTGCTTCTTAGATATGGACATAAAGAGTAACATATAGTAATTTAATTTAATTCAATTATCATATGAGGTTGTTCTTGAATACAATCACATGCCCTTGAAGAACAATTAAATAGCATTCAGGTTTATGCAAAAAATTTAGGGGAGAGAGAAAATTTTAAAAGGTTTTATAAGAATAAAAGAAAATTTAGTTTTCTATTGTATTTGTCATTTACTTCTTAAATTCACCCGACACTATACTTGGTATCATAAAATTCATTATTAACTTTTTTTATTTTAAAATTGGAATTTCAGAAAGATTAACAATTTTTAATATATATATATATATATTATTTTATCATAACAATTTTGAAATATCATGATTACAATTTCAATAATACGAAGGTGTGATTCAATAATGTTATGATAAAGGACCAAGAAAGCTAAACCTAATGAAGGCAGGCCCAAATCTAGAATCAGTTTTGGGCTTCTCAACGATTTGGGTCCTTTTTAATTTAGGTCTTTGTTTTTAACTGACCCAGGGAGCGTAAAACTCGAAGGGCACAGCGGTTTATTCAATTATATTTTGAATCACAAAGAAGAAAGAATCCCGCCCTCATTTCAAAAACCACTCTCTCTCTCTAAAACGCACTCTCTCTCTATACGCGCGGACCACTACAGCCCTAGAAAGTCGTCAAACAGAGAGGGAGAACAGTTAGATAGAAGATCGAAATGGCGACGAACATTGGAATGATGGACTCGGCTTACTTCGTCGGCAGATCAGAGATCTTGTCATGGATCAATTCCACTCTCCAACTCAATCTCTCCAAAGTTGAAGAGGTACTTTTCTTCAATTTCAATCGTTAATCATCACTATTCTCGCATTTCTGTTTGTATATAGTATGCATATATAAATCTTCACTGTTTATGTTTCTTCTATGAACGATTCGTATAAAGCGTTGGATCTGTTGATTGCAGGCGTCTTCTGGTGCGGTACACTGCCAACTGATGGATGCGGCTCATCCTGGAATTGTGCCGATGCACAAGGTCAACTTTGATGCCAAGAACGAGTATGAGATGATACAGAACTACAAGGTTCTTCAGGACGTGTTTAACAAACTCAAGATAACCAAGGTTTGATTTATTCCCTTCCCAACCCCCAATTTTCATGGTCTTAGGGTTTCGGTCACTTTCGTTTGTTTTGGGGGAAAATAATTTTCTTTTCACCAAGGTCTTAGTAAGATATTCATTGCGAGAAGTGGAGTCGTCTGGGAATTTTAATTTTGGAAGAAAGAAAAATTCACCAAGATTTTCCCTCAAAACAAACGGTCTTTACCCTTTTTATTTATTTATTCATCTATTTTTGGTCATTGCGAGGCACAGCATATTGAGGTGAACAAGCTAGTGAAAGGGAGGGCGCTGGATAATCTGGAGTTCATGCAATGGATGAAGCGATACTGCGATTCAGTTAGCAGAGGCGCTCTCCACAGGTAATTTTCCAACCCTAATTATTTTCTTTATAAATTCAATTATATTTCTCAATTATTATGTAATTGTTCATTATGACTGAACTGTGGAAAGTACATTTTGTTGTCTGCTATCGGTGATTGGGACTATTGATAAAGTCTGTTTATTGTAGAAAAATCAGTAGGAGCAATTTAATTTTTGCCTTTTCTTGTTGCAATGTATAGAATACTAGGGATATGTTGTGTAAAAGAATATAAACAAAGTCACACACACTCAAATTTTAGAGGGTTATTGTTAACATGGTATTAGAGCAGGCAAAAATTATAAATTCAAACATCATTGTGACGAAGCTTAAGATTTTGGAGTTGTATCATAAGCCTTTGGAGCATGCTAGATTATAAATTATATTACATCTAAGCATTTATTGTCGGACCTGGTTATTCACATTGTATTAAAGCAAGTTGTTGAAAATTAAGCTATATTAGAGCAGGTTGATGTTCCTTAAGCTCCATTTGTATAATGGAATGTTGGCTGAAAACTACCTTATGTCACATTATATAGTGTGTTCAATGTCTTGGGTTCATAAAGTTATACCCTCTCTATATGAACCCAAAACGTTGAACACACTATGTAATGTGACATAAGGTAGTTTTCAGCCAAAAAAAGTTATACCTTCTCTAATTGTTTGAGGCAAGAAATTGTCATTGCTTTTTTACTTTTCGAAAAGATGGGAGTGATTCCTACAAACACGTAATATCCCGCAAGTGATTGTCAAGTTTCAGTGCAACTTGCTCAATCAAAATCATAATATGCTCTTATATGAATACTACTACGAGAAGAGAGAAAGCTCCCCTTTTTCCAGTGTAGACTTGATAACGTAATATTTCATGATCTTTACCAAGCCAGAGCTTGTGAGGCTGATGCCTGAATTGACTCAAAAGCTGCTTAGGATAGACAATTTCAGGCCAAGCGAGGATAATATAAATAATTACACTAGGCAGGAACAGGATCAATTAATGGCCAATGCATTTTTTGTTAGATTGTAGTCCAATTCTGACATGTTGCTTTTGAGTCTTTGACACAATTTCTAATTTGCTGTTTCTAAACACCTCATTGAAGTTCAGATTTTCCCCCTCTCATGCACGATTATAGTTCAGGGTTTTCTTCTGTTAATAGTCTTATGGCATTTCCAATATAACAGAGTATACATTAATGCAAATTTTATTTTTGGTTGAACCATTGCATGCTGCTGATGACTCTTAAATATATGAAATTGTCATTGAAGTATCTAATATTTGTTCAAATGCTCTCCTATTATTATCTTTAAGGTTTACTACCTTCGATGTATGATATTAATAGTAGAAACCTTCAATATTGATTCTAGTTTGGAAAGCAATTATTTGTACTTCAATGTCTTGCCTGGTTCCTGTCATTGTTAGTTACAATCCTTTGGAAAGGAGAGAGGCTTGCAAAGGAGGAAAAGATGTGGCCAAGAAATCTGCACCATTACCTTCAACCAAGTCTTCAACAGTTGCCCCCAGAACTCAGTCCTCCCACACTACTCGAAGAAATGATGTATCTTCTGTAAGCACTACAAATCAATCTGCTAAGCCCCCTAAACCTTTCTCTGGTGGAGGGCCCGAGTATGAACAACAGGTACTTTAAGTCAAGTGCATTAACGAGAAATTTGTAGTTTAAGAATTTTCTGTTGTAACACTCATCTCGATGCAGATCACAGAGCTGAAGCTGTCAGTTGATAGTCTAGAGAAAGAGAGGGACTTCTACTTTGCAAAGTTGAGGGATGTAGAGATCTTGTGCCAGTGTCCGGAGATTGAAAATATACCAGTACTGTTTCCCAATTTATTTGATTCAAGACATTAGAAGCGTGGAACTATTTCAAGAGTATATGAGTAACTATTATTTATGAAGTTGTTGATTAGCATCATCTGTTTACAGGTTGTTGAAGCAATAAAGAGGATACTGTACGCTACAGATGATACATCAGTGGTGGCAGAAGCGCAAGCCATGATATCCCAGCATCAGGATCAAGCAGAGCCATTGAGTCCCATTTCTGAGGTTCCAGAGGACAGGCCACAGGCCGATACTCAGAAGAGAAAAAACATTATCAATGTTGATGTTGAAGCCGCTGCAAACACTACATTGTCTCCAAGGCAAAGGATTTCTGATGTTTCTGATGTCCATTGCAGCGGATCACCCCTTATGACTTACTGATCATTTCTTCATATTGAAGATGAATGCCTTGGTTCTAGCTGGTTTACAAAACAATTCCCTTTTACCGTCTTTCCCGTTTATCTTTTTTACTAGTTTACATGTCAAAACTAGTTTGACAATATTGTGTTGCTAAAAGGAGTGTATCAAATCTCTTTTCTTCAATTTCAATGCTGCGTTGTGGAACTTTGAGTCCGTTGGGTTTTTGAGAATCAGCTCATTGATCTTATAAGCCCATTTGCAATTATATCAGATTTCCCTGAAGAAAATAACATTTTTGAATCCTTTTGCTACCGGCGCTCCACTGTTTAAGGTTGAAAACACGTTAGTTTTGCTAGCCATCTTATGAAAACTTTTTGCCGGTGTATAGCACAAATCCAATGTGTACCAAAATGGTAACCATCAAGTGGCTTTGAAGATTTATTTATTTTTGAAAAATTTTATTATGCAAAATTACAGGAAGTGGGCTGTTAATTATTTGGGTAAATTGTATGGACACTTCTTGATGTTTCGGTTAATGTCACTTAGATGTAGGTTCATGGTTTTTTTAACAATGACACCAAAGGGCACGTCATTGAAGGGGTTTGACTGTTGTGCGAGAAGCAGGTTTATAAAGAAAAGACTAAGTAAGATCTGGGAAATCCCACGGGAAATGACTTATAGAAGAAGGAGCTTGCCTTCATAAGAGAATTCAGTTTCGTAAGTTTCATAAGAGAATTCATTGAACATTCATTCCAGCATCTCATCCATCAAAACGAGTTCTTTCTGCTGATTGGTTCACTCAAACCTATGTTCTGAAAAGCTACACCCCATGTGGTTTCAAATGTTATATTTGCCCCGATTATTTAATTTAATTCATTTACAAAATATCAGTCATGTTAATTGACAAAACTACCCTCATCATTAAACTTCTTTCTCTAATTTTTTTTTTGTTCATTTTAGTATCCAACACCCCCCCGTATTGTACATGGCCGTTTTCGTCTTCTTCTTCTTCATTTTTTTATTTTTTTAATGTTGCGGCCGTGGTGTACTAGCTATTTTTTTTTTTTTAAAAAAAAAATTAATTTTCTTTTTTATTTTTATGTTGCGTAAAGTTATCTAGCTATTTCAAGAAAAAATTAAAATTTTTATTTTTTTTTATTTTTATGTTGTAGTGGTGGCTACGGTGGTATTAGTATTATTATATATAAACCATATCTGTATGTGTAGAAGAGATGAAAAATGTTAGTTTGCTCCATTAAATTTAGTTGGGGGGTTAAACTTGTAGATTTAAATGGAGTTGTTGAGAAGTCAGAGGGTTAAAAAGTAATTTTATATGATTTCAGAGGTTTGGAGAGGTGTCCATGCATATTTTTGAAACCTCAAGAGGTGTCAATGTAAAAAAAATCATTGACCGTCAACTGAGCGACGTTGACCAAAATCTCAAAGGTGTCAGTGCAATTTATCCTAATTATTTTTAGCCAACGTATGTTTACCTATTGAAAAAATTAAAAATAAAAATGTTATCTAGCCAAAATTTTGGGCAATTTTTTTTGATCCATCAACCATTGTTGTCAATTGTAGGGGTGTACAATTTTTACCTCCCAGCGGGGCCTCGCCCCATCCTGTCCCGTCCCATTAATAACGAATATGGGAACAACTTTTATATCGTTGGGGCGGCATGGATACAAATTTTGTACTTGTCACTGGTGACGGGGTGGGTAAGGGTTCTTAAACATATCCACCGGGGTCCCGCCCCGCCTCGGTCGCCCTGCTAGGTATATAACTATATATATATATATATATATATATATAATATTAATAACGTATTTTACCGGCTTACCCATTTCTTACAATCCTAATTTCTTAAGCCTTATGTGTGAACTGAGCGGCGCATCAAGGAAAGACAAAGAGATTCAAAACTAAAAAACCAAATTCTCGACCTTAATCCCTCTCTCCCTCGCCAGTTTCTGTTCTCTTTCTTAGGTAGATCCACGTCCTCACGGAGGTAAATATGTTCTTCTTCAGTTCTTTTTCTCTCTTTTTTATACTTACATATATATATATATATTATATCTTTTATTTTATAATTTATTTGATTTATTCTTCTCAAGCAGAGACAGAGGGATTGACAGGGGATTGATTTATTCTTTATCTTCTTCTATTCGGGCTATTCAATTAAGAAAATTGTGAAAGATAGGGGGGACACCAGATCAATTTTTGAGCCAAGAAAATTGTGAAAAAAAATTATTAGCAGGGTGAGCACAGGACAGGCATGGACTTGCCAAAAATTAAATGGAACAGAGCGGAATTTAAGAAAACCCACTCCAAATCCGTCCCGTTGTCATCCTTTATCAGTTGTCACCGGTCGGGGTGGGTAATACGGTATCATTGTTGTAGCCTAGACTGCCTAGTCTTTCTGATCCATTTGACTTCGTCTAGAAATATGCTGACACCGTGTAGAACCATAATAGAGGTGATGGTAATATCCTGTCCACAACTCTAGACGTACTAATCGCCCCTTCAAAGCCCAGCAGCCAAAGACCACTTCTTTACCCTGAAAAACAGATCGATGGTAATAATACTCGGAAACAGATACTAGTATATATTATATAAATATATGTGTATGTAACAATCTTATATAAATTATTCATCATCTCTTCTTAAACTGAACGTAATCAATTGCCAATTGAAATGAATACATCAGCCAAAGAGGTACTTCATGTGTTTGTCATTTTGTATACTGGAATAGGATATTATTGATGTCCTTCATTGTAAATCTTTTCCATTTGTCAGGGCACTGAGACTGAAAATGCACAAGGTCAAATGGAAAGGAGCGTGGACACGGTAGATTATCGGTCATCCCCGGGACAATGCCAAGAACTGAGGCCAGTGCAGGTGGTTCATCAATCACATTCTCCTCCTGCAGTGGATTCAAACAGCAGTGGAGCCATCTTGGCCGATGCTGCTGCTTCCGTTGCATCCGCCCTTCAGTCGGCCAGGGAAGTTTTATCCAGAAATAACAGCACAAATTCTAAACACCAGATAGATTCTTGAAACTTATCATCATTACTAGACTTCTACCATTCCTTTATATCCAATTCTGTTTTGTAAACTGTGCTTTGGCTCAGTGTTTTGTCATTCAGTCAAAAGTTGTTAGTATTATCCAAGCATTCGCTGTTTCCTACACTCACAAAAAAATTGATTCTCTTTTCAGTAATATTCCAAAATTGTATCAGTAGAAATACAATTGTTACATGGCTTCAATTATGTTGACAATTTAGCTCAATTAATTAACTAAGGGTTTTTATAATCCCTTTTTTTTATCCCATATTCTTAATGCACTTCTGTCCTCAACTAGTACACTTATTTTGTGAACTAAAAAGAATGTACAGGCATTGCTCCTTCTAGTTAAAACTTATTTTTCATTCAATCAAACGATTCCCTTCAATTACTATATGCCCAATATTGGGTAAATGAAGCTTCTCTTGAAAGATCATGGCCGCGATAGAAAACAGGTCATCGAATTTAGGTTTGCATCATATCCCAGCATGGATATACTAGAGGATTCCAGCTTATGTATGGCAGCCACTCCTGTAACCCTTTCTTACTTTTTGACCTGAATGAGAAAATATATTGGGAGATTCTATGTGTTCACTGACATTAATCCTATTCTTATTCTACCAGTTGTAGTAGGAAAAGAATTGAGTGATTTACATCTTAAACCCTAGATTTGGGATGCACACATTGATCAAACAGGATACTCTGTTGCAAAATAGAGTTAAGTTTCATGCACCACATCAAGGGATGAAATTAAAAACAACCCCCAAGTTGCAAGATAAACCTCACATCCCCTGCAAAAGTTCATTCCAAATTGTCCAATATTTCCACCGAAAGTGAAGCAAAGCTAGTGTCCTTTATTCTCTTCCACCACTGATGTAAGAATCTTATTCTTTCCACCTTTATGTCTTAGAATCATATCTCGGATTGATCGAATAAATAATAAGCAAGCAGCAAATATAAACTCATTGATCCCTTCCATTTCTCAGTCCTCTGAAGTCTGCACCTGTCTCTCCACTTCACAGTTTTTCCATGTGAGTGAACCAAACCTACTCTTTCTTTCTTCATACAATTCAGAGAGTGGATTTTTTTTTTCTCTCTTTCTTGTATTATTTGTTTTTATCTATTTGATTGAATCAGTTGCAGCGATGGGTATGGCAATATCTCGGCTTTTAAAGATGCTCTTTGCAAAGAAAGAAATGAGGATTTTGATGGTAGGTCTTGATGCTGCTGGAAAAACAACCATCCTGTACAAGCTGAAACTCGGAGAGATTGTTACTACAATACCTACCATTGGTATTCATTCTAATTACTCTTTCTTGGCTATAATCTTATGCATAATATTCTACAGTGATTTCCATTTTGATCAACATGTTTAGACTCCAATACTCAAATACAAAGAGCAACACTTGTGTTAACAGTAATTTCCCCACCTGCTCTAACTATAAGTATTAAGCCTTGCTTTTACACGGATTAATGTTAGTTTTACATTTTTCTTTCTTCAGTAGAATATATTGAATTATGCAAAGGAATATCTATCCTTTACAATAAATTTAGTAAATTTGTTTTAAATGAATCAGAATGGACCTTCTCAGATTCATGAATGAACCAACCTGCTCAATTGTCTTTTCCTAGTAAGCAGTCTACAAGTTTTCTACAGATGATGAGGGATTTATAGTTTCCTGGAATGCTTAACTAATTTCTTCTAAATCACTGCAGAAAATTCAGATATAAATATCTCTTTTTGGAAGATTAAAAATAAAACATTGTTAAGCCTGTCTCAAGAAATCCAAAATGATTAAGCAAACTAATGCGATTGCCATGCTGTCTCAAGCTTGCCATCGTGCTCTTGTTGGCAGTTTAAATCAGAAAACATGAATAAGAATGAAAACACATATGAGATCATATGATGTGGAATGATTTGTTTCAAACCTAAGAATGGGTTCTTTTGGAATTACTTTTGATTTTTTTACTTTATCTGCTGTTATGAGATGCCAAAGTTTCAAACTTCTATATCAATCCTGCTTGTAAATCAAGCATGGTGAAAAAAATTCTTAAATCATTGATTTTTTTTATGCTCCAGGTTTTAATGTGGAAACTGTTGAATACAAAAATGTAAGCTTCACAGTTTGGGATGTAGGAGGTCAAGATAAGGTACTAAGCCTAATCCTTTTGAACATTTGCTTGAGTGTTTGTGTGAACATTTCTGGCTCTATCTTTTCTAATATTTTTTAATTAATACGCTTTCATCTGCAACAATACCTGGATCCCATTGCTACACACACATTTTAACCTAGATATGCTTTACAGATCCGCCCTCTATGGAGGCACTACTTTCAGAATACACAAGGTCTCATCTTTGTGGTAGACAGTAATGACAAAGAAAGAGTTTCGGAAGCCAGAGATGAGCTTCATCGGATGCTGAATGAGGTTCTATGACTTTTCATATACATTTGCAGTATCCAATTTTCAAATTTCTAAAGTAAATATCGATAGCAATAGTCTTTTTGATCATTGTTATATTATAAAAATAATGTGTCGAGTGCTCTAAAAAAAGGTTGACTTACTCGTTGTAGGATGAACTACGCGATTCAACACTGCTCATATTTGCCAACAAGCAAGACCTTCCAAATGCCATGAGTGTTTCTGAAATCACTGATAAACTTGGTCTGCATTCACTCCGTCAGCGTCGCTGGTAAATCATATACTTACTAGAAGATTCTTTCTGTAACCATATCTACTCTAAAATTTTCACATGTTTGAAAGCCTGAGTTCTGTGTGGCACAACACAACTCTAAGGCGCCTAAAAACAAATCAAACCACCACATTTTTTTAATCACTCACGATCCAATTATTGTTATATGTATCATTTTCTTGTTATAATTAGTGGCATTTGGGAATTGATTGATGCAGGTACATCCAAAGTACTTGTGCCACCTCTGGCCAAGGGCTCTATGAAGGTCTGGATTGGCTATCAAGCAATATCTCTAGCAAGGCAAGATAGGCTGGACCGGTCTTTCACCATCTTTAAGTCTATGATTCTATAGAGATATTAACACTACCAGATCTATGTTTCTTACAGGCATAATCTCAACTGCCATTAAAGCTTTGGAAAAAAGGGACACCACATTTAAGCAAGTTACAAAACTTCATATACCTTTGTCATATTGAATAACTTTTACTTTGATCATATTACTATAAATTTTGGATGTAATATTGAATATATAACTTCGACTGTGATTATATTTCTATAAATTTTGAGTGTAATATTGAACAAATAGCGTCTACGGTGATCATTTTACTATAAATTTTGGGTGTAATACCTCTGGTTCTAAATGCCTGAAAAAGTAATTTTGTGCACTATGATTCAAAACACAGTTGATTTCTGCTCACAAGGATATTATAGCAGCTTAAATACAATTGCATTTTTTTACATGGTATTCATATTTGATTTTAAATATTATAAGAAAACTATAATGTAATGGTTGATTTTAAATATTATAAGAAAACTATAATGTAATGGAATGAAATATAAATAAATTAATTATAAGAAAAAGAAAAATTCATTAGTAATCACAGCGGTTTATTCTACGCGTGTATTGCAAAATGCTTTTTTTAGTACCTCCTTCCCTTTTTATTTATTCTACTCCTTAACCCTTATTGACACTGCTTGGAGTATAAGCTAAAAATCATTTTATCCTTTACATCTCTTTTATCATTCTTCTTCTCTTTGGTTTTTCATGTAGTAAGATGGCCCAAATCGCATTCTTGGCCACAACACTCTATTTCTTTGATTTTGACTTTGATCGATACGGCATTTCTTATATCTCCTTGACAATTGCTTACATCCTTCACATCTGGCGGGCTAGCTCGCATACTCACTCCGCCTAAACCCCACATGTGCCAACACACTATCCACTCTTCTAGCACAAACTTGTTCCCTACAAACAAATGAAACGCCAATTCTATTTATAGACATCCTACATGCTCTCTACATGTTCTTAAATATTTACAACACTACAAAATTTTTCACTATTTTAAAATATTCTAAAATTTACTACCTTTTACAAACTTCAAAAACTCTGCATTAATTTAAAAGACTCTAAAACTCTACTCTATTTATGCTATGCAGATACCTCGTAAGTTCTTGTATGTCGTCTGCGTGATAAATTCCCTTTACAAATATGTGGTGCCTGACAAATGGATATATATATGCCATTTTATTATGTCAAACTTCAATTACCACTAAATAATTTTACCTGTAGTGTCTAAAAACGAGCGCAATACTTGTGTCCATAGTCATATCTCTCTTTTCTTTAGGCCACATATCCAGCAGACACCTAGTATATACGTTGCATTCATGGCAATGTCCTTCGTATACTGGCATTGACTTAGTTGGCAATGCTAAAGAGAATGGTGATTTGATCTTTCAATAGCACTTGTGGTGGATGCGTTCTTCATTGCTTATTAAAGCACTTGTGGTCGGAATTCGACGGATTGAATCCAATGTCCAGATACCTTTATAAATGTGTTTCATTGTCAGGTCAGGTTCATTGTCCACGAGTGAGGCAAATAGTATGTTTCTCAACACACACCACATTTTCAACTTACAGTATCTTGATTGAGTCAGTTACATTTGGTTTCGGTAACACAACTAGATGTAATTTGGTGTATTAATTGTTCACTGAGAAGATCACCATTGCACACGACAAAATATCAATAGTTTGGACCATTCAAAAATTTCTCTACATTGACTTGAGATATTCTCTATCAGAAATTTAAAGTCCTGTATCCAACAAAATACTTGACAATAGCTCATTAAAATCGAAACACATGCCAAGTAGCATTGGATTCAATATCAATATGCCCATGTTGCTTTAAGCATTAAACTTAATTATGTGATCCTGATTTCAATCAATTTAGAGTACATTTGTAGCCTTTATAACACCTTTCGGAACAAAAAACGCTTTTGGGTTGTCCCATATACCGTGCATCTGTCTATCAATTGATTTGTCGTTTTTTATTTTTATTTTTTACACGATTTGTCGTTTCTCATAGTAACAAATCTTCAAGTTGATGGCACATTCATATGACAAAGCCTTGATTGTACAGCTCAGAAAATTTGACCAAAGATGATATATATATATATATATATATATATATATATATTTTTTTTTTTTGAAAAATCTCACATTTAGTTTGAATGGAATGGCATCTTCAATTCAGTTGGTGAAACTTCTAATAATCCTTAAAATCCTGTCCTATCTTTAGTCAGTCATTGTGTTCAATAATGAAGGGCCTCTTTCATAAATTAAATGAAACCATTCATGTGTCCATAGAAACACTGGACATTGCCCACTAGGTAGAGAGAGATCCTTATCGGTCACTAATATTAACGTGTCAACCATTGCCACATTAATCTGAACTCCGTCATAAATTGTATAAACATTGGCGGGAAAAATTGTTGACACTTACAAGGATGCATTCTACCCATGCAGCAGATGGGTTTTAAAGCCGTAAGTATAGATAAAAAAAATAAAAAATAAAAAAAATAAAATAAAAAAGTGCAAAACGATTTAACGGATTGAGAGGGGGTAGTTGCTTCAATATGTGTAAACTGATTGACATATTACCAAACCCCTAAATCACTTATCAAAAAAAATATATATATTACCAAACCCCTATATCCCTATATCTATATATAGGCTCTCTTGGACTTGGGTAAACTGAGGATCAAAAGAGCTTGAACTTATTACCTTTGGTTTTTTTCTTTGACTTGGTCTATGATGGTATGTATAACCTGAAATTTGCTACTGACAATATCAACCATTTTGGCTTTCCCTTTTTCAGCCTCAAACATCAAAAGAAACAAAGGAGCACTTAAACTTTCATTTCAACAGTTTCTAAGAGATGATGCAAAAATACAGCTCTCTCTAGCTGTTTCCAACCATTTCTCTCTTCACATGAATGCTACTATTACTTTCATTCTTTAAACTATTCTGCACCATCTTTTGTTTGGTTACAAACCATATACCCAAAGAAAGCACAGACAAAGAGGGTTATATTGAAGAGAGAACTTTTTTTTCTCTCTCTTTAAATCATCATACACTACTTTATTTGTTTTGAATGATGATTTATTGTGAAATGTGATAATTTGTACCTGCATGAATTCATTAGAAGCCTAGTGGTATTAAATACAATGATATTATGATATTTCCAAATGCAAAAACTCATCGATCCGTAGGGAAACCTTCATTGGAAAGGACTAGAATAATGCTAGCATGACATCTAAACGTGACATTCACAACTTACTGCATACAGTTCTCTTAAATTTTTGCTATGTAGCACGTGAATTACTAAATTAGGGTGGTGTATAAAATCAACCCTAACCCTTCAATTTGGTTGGCTTCTAGAGGTTAATAGTTCCATTCCAATTTCAAATCATTTGAATGGTTGATGACATTTGTACCATAGCCTCACATGGACAGTTGTTCCTGTCATTTTTAAGACCCCTCAGAAGCCCCAATCACTTTTTGTTCTTTTGTTAGGCTCTCTATTATCTTATTCTTTAAGTAGCTATTATTTCAATTTCCATAATTATTTCACTTTTTGTACATGCCTGCATGTAGGTATTGTTTTATTGGCAAATTAAGCCCCACAGTTATATGACTTAATATCAGTACATAATTAATAATACTGCATTGAACTAATTTCCAAGAGTAAGCATATATACTCATATAGATATTAATTCCAAATAGATACAGTACATAAATTAAAGAGTTGCCTTCACTGAGATAAAATTGAATTTTTAAAAAAATAAACTTAGCACAAACTATAAAATTGACACTTATTACAGTAGAAAATTTGCCAACAATCCCATGTAACATATATGAGGTATACAAATTTTACAATAAGGTAACCTTTTTTTTTTTTTTTTTGCTTCCACACAAAAGGTGTTGGAATTTGGAAATATAATTTAGAATTTTTTAGAATGAGCTATATTAATTTCATGTCTAGAAATATATGTGAAGAATACAAGAACTTACCTAGGAATTGGCAAGTCAATCTAGGGGGAACAAGTTGCATTAAAAAGCAATTATATATGTAAGAAAGGACCCAGTGTTTCATGTCATGTAATCTTCTCTAATCTTCTCAATCATATAAAAGTATCTAAAACCAATTCTTATATTTAAAAAGGAGCTCCAAAGTACCATAACTCATCTTTGCGCGCGCGCACAGATATAAATATATTTCTCATTTTATTATGCTTTCGTTGTGACTCCAATAAAAGTAAGTAATCACCATATTATTCCAGAATTATTGGGTTGACCTTATTGGATTAGCTGTCCTGGTGAAAACTCTATCTCATCATGATCACTGGGATATTAAGCCCATTTTTAACAAACTAAACCAACATTAAAGCATAAAGCAAGAACAAGAGGAACAAGTACATCCCCACAAAATCAATAAGGTTTTCCACTCTCTCCATAGTCAACACTCAGAATCTCTAAAATGACCTCCACCTTTATCTGATGTGATCGATGAGTGGTTCAAAGAACTAATCAATTTTTTTTTTTTTTTTTTTTTTTGACAGAACTAATCAAAATTCACAAAACCTCATTTCACTGGCATTGTACTTTCACTTGTTCTCTGCTAGTAGTATAGATTTCCAATATTGTCACCTTCCAGGAAAATACCAACACAGAGCTAATGACAAACAAAACCGACAAATTTCAATAGCTATGTAACACAATTAGCAAGCAAGTTAAGCTTGTTACTATTTAGAACATTTCATATGTTCAACAAATTTGGATATTAGCATTTCAAAATGTTCAAATTTCCTTTTCAACGTATATACTCGATATACATTGCATACAGATACAAATATTGCACACAAGAGACGCATCGTCTGCAGGTTGAAAATTATTTCACAGTAGGACCATGCTAGGAGGCTGAAGGAAGAAAAAACTAGGGTAATTAGATAGCATAATACCCGCTTTGAGACAAAATTTGCTCGGGAAACTACAAACAGTAACATAACAATGAAATTGTCAAAATAGTATTAGTTGCTAAGAACCTGTCTAGAGTGTTTCTAGTGAAGCTCATATAATATTAAACATAGAATAATGTGTCCTCTTATTATTAATTATAGACTAAGTCTTTTGTACAGTTATTTACACTGATAAGATTCCTTGACATAGATGGAGACAATTTAAAATTAGACATGAACCAGAGTTTCCATTTGTTAATCACTCCGTATAGTTGAGCACAATGTCTTGGATATACCTTAAAAAGTAGTACCAACTAGCTTTACTTCTCTTTTTATAATTAGGAAACTCTATTTTGGGAATTGAAGGTAGAGGGAGAGTCTTGACATTAATCTAACCTCTAGATTAGGTTACTGAATTAGTGTGCCATCTTCAACAATGTCAATCCCATTAGCAAAAAGTCTTCATAGAACAACCACCGAAACCCCACCGGCCTCCAATCAGTTCCTACCTCCAAGACATCTCTCTATTCCATTTTTTTTTTTTTTTTTTGTAAGTCATCTCTATTCCAATTCAATAAACCCTTTAACAAACACAATGTCCAATGCCAAATTGTCATATATATTGAAAAACTCTCACAAACTCATCAATATGTCAATTTCAAAAGACAACCACAGAGCACATACTTGGCACCCTAAGCTCCATCTATGGTTCTAATCCATCTAGAAAGACATTTATTGAGTATAATGATATACATACAAATAGGACGTCTTGCATTTATATCCATTGATAACTATGTCAAATTATTATGATCTCAAAATGCAGGACATAGTAGGAGCATTATAAATGCAACTTAAGGAAAGCTTTACTCATCCCTCTTCCAACCCTCCACGCGCAGTAAAAGATGTAGTGGTGTAAGTGTTTGATATATATATATCTATACGCTCCATCACATAAATTAGGCCAGAATTACAGTGACATATCATTGAATACAATATAATTGCACCTTAAGAACATGTACTGCAATTAACATTAGAGAGAGAGTTTGTATAGTACCATGGCCAAAAAAAAGGAGATAATTAGAGACTGAAAGATCAACGAGGGCTGCCAAACACACGAACAGACGCACGTTTTAATGGAGCCAACCTCATCTGCTGGTCCTGAGCTCTGCTCTTTTTAAACAGAGGTTCAGGAGATGACGAAACCGACAATGCCAAACCCCAAGAATCATTTGAGCTATCGGAGCTGAAATATGCATCAAAAACACCATTTGGGCTGCCTGGTATAGACTGGTGCTTGCGTTTGTGGGTTTGGTAGTGCTTACAACCAGGGTCCCCTAATAGTTCCAGGATGAGTTTATAGCAATCATCCACTTTCTCCTGTTACATATAGGATCAAGAATCAAATTGTAGAACAAAGGGATGGCTGATTCAAATCCCATCAAAAGGAAATGTGATGTAAGATATGGAAAAGAACATATATAAAACTATAATTAAATAAAGTACAAACCTTGCTAGTTTTAAGGAAAGCCATAAATTGATTCTGGTAGTCCAATGCATTACAAGGCTCAATCTCTTTGATAACATGTATCATTGAAGCAGTAGCCAACTCGGACGGAAGATAACAAACAAACCTTGAATCTGTGATCAAAATTCAATGTTGAAAATGAGATGACAGATCAAATGGAATAACATAAGATACCCATTTGTAGCAATGGTGAACTAAGAGGGGTTTGATCTGCTTAGTACTTACCATTGATAACAGAAAGAAGAAGGCGCTCACACCTCCATAGAAACTCCAATTGCAAATGAGACTTCAATGCAAGCCTCCTTATAATGTGATCAAAGAAAGAGAGTGGGGTCACTGGATTCATCTTCCATTGAAGAGTAGAGAGCACCAGAAGCTCCATTCTCTGAATAGTCTTTGCTTCAAACACATACTTTGAATCCTCCACCTAAACAGAATACAAAAACCCACATCAAAAAATAGGAAGAAAAGGCCCAAAAAGCACACAATATGACATTTTCACAAACACCCAATTGGCATTTATACAATATATAAACATAACACATACTTGCAGGTCTAAGAGAAGAGGCACTTGGGTCTCCTCGACTTTGGCAGCTAAAGACAAACAAGCAACAGCAGCGAGTTGACTCATCCATGGCTTATCTCTCTGGAAGCAAAAGCTTGATACGAACCTATCAAAGTAATTAACGGCTAAAACAACAGTCATAGCAGTGAAACCATAGTGGGCATTGACCCTTAACATCCACCCAACAGCCTCTCTTCTTGCCACAATTATAGATCCATTAAATTCCAAACCTCTCTGACCCAAATGGGTGTGTATTTCTTTGGAGATTAGAGAAACAAGCTCATCATCTTCCCAAAACAGATCACGTTCCGATAAAACCAAAGGTTCCTTCACATTCCCACTCTCTTCTTCATAACCATACCCTCCCAAATCTTCATCAACAGGCTCTTCTTCACAGTAGAGACCATCAAGCAGCAAAGAAATTGCAGGGTTTTGCAGCTGTGTTTCTTCTTCTTGTAAAGCCATCTTCTTCTGAGAAGAAGACACAAGACCCTTTGCTCATTATCTTTAAGAGCAGATGAAGAGACAGAAGCTCAATCTTGTACCCAGTAGCATATCTGCTTATACTTTATCTCTCAACACTCAAATAGAGAGAGAGTAGAGAGACCAAATACGGTAAGGGAAGGATGGATTTTATCCGAGGGGCTATCACGCCTGTCCTTTCTTTCCCTGCTTATTTTCTCTCTTTGTTATGAATTTTCCTTTTATCTTAAGGACGTTTAAGGGAGTGTTTGGCGCGCAGGAAAATAGAATGTAACGGCACACTCACCGAGCTCATCTGCAAAAATAACCTCTTATATTCAATCTACAACTCTATAAATTACATATACATAACACATACTTTTTCTATAAATATATATATATATTAAAAAATAATAATAATAATAATTACTCTTATGTATGTACCGCACTGTGTGTGCAGCGTGTGTTTCGGGTAAAGAAAAATAGGAAAGGAGCAGATACGTATCGGAGCGATGCGATTCCGTTATATCATCAAGTGGGTGGTTGTTGTTGTTTTTGTGTGGGAGCGTAGAGTGAAGTAGCAAGGATTGGAGGTGATCAGCGGACACGTGGATAGGCATGAGAGGTGTTGAACACGCGATGATGAGAGGGTGTGGGTTGGTGGGATGGGAGGTGTGGGTCAGAGCGTTGACTGGGTTTGTCTTGTTTTGGATGGTGATTGGAGAGGTGTGGGGGCACGCCTTACCGAGATGGTTTATACTTTTTAGGTGAAATGTAATTATATACCCCCATCCAACTGCTTCAATCACCAAACGTCTTTTTGGTTCCGTAATGACTGAACACGTGTTGCTATATCGAACGACCAACACCCATTTCAGAAAAAAAAAAAAACATAGAACATTTTAAAAATTCAATTGTGACAAGGCTTAAGAGATTAAGTGACACGGAGCGGAGGCGAGGGCGAGAATACGAAAAAGATAAAATTAAATTATAAATAGCGAGAATTTAAACGGAAATAAAAATATAAAAGCGATACGGTGCCATCAACATTCATATCTTCTACTCTCTTCTTAAGCATGGATTTCTCCCCCAACAAATTAAATTTTAAAATTCTTTTTTTTTAACTAAATGTGGTGTTGGATATACTTATAATATGTTGTTAAAAATGATTTAAACGTGTTGTATGATGTATCATCTTAAAATTTGAGTCATTTATTAAATGACTTATGGCTGTTGTCTTATCTATATAATAATTATGTTGTGTTCATATCTATCCATATAACAAAATATTCATATCCTAATACAACATGCAAATAATACAACTTGTAAACCCGATTTGCCATCCAATTTTAAATAGCCAATTAATTAAGCGAGCCTCATACTTTTGCACCCAATTTTTAACCGTAAATGAGGTCTTGTGAGCAATTGTTAGTAATAGTTTTTAAAAAAATTAGGTTCCGTTACATGGGTATATTAACCGTTAGCATCCAGTTTATTCCATTTGACATGGATCAGTTGTAAGTTATATCTGGTGGGTGATTTCCAATGTCAAAATTAACTTTTTGATCCTTGCATATTTTAATTCATTAATTTCCTGCCATATTCTTAACTAGTACCAAATCCAAATTTCACATTTGTTTATTTTCTCGTGATTGATAGCATTTTGACAAAATTTATCGGGTTCATTTTGTACTCATTTTCATCCCCTCTTAACTATAAAATCCTGACAATGACAACATTAATCCAATAGACAAGGCAAAATTTGAGCATTATGTCCACTATTTAAAGTAGATCCCGTCCCTTCCTAACCTGTGCACCTGGTGCATCAAAACCACGTGATTTTGATGTAGAATATTTTTGCCTCCTTGGACATTCTTGTCAATTTCTAAAATTTTTTTTACAATAATGTTAGATTAGAAGTTAGAGGTGAAAATGCAGGAAGTCGGACTTTTTAAGATATAATTAATTGATGACACAAATCACGTAGTGTTACCGGTACAAAAAAGTATTTCTCAACAACCAATAGCAATTCGATCGCTAAATTATAAAGGCGTTCATATGGGATCAACCATATATTAATCGGTATCTAGATAACTATGCATTAATGTATATCCAGTGTGAGATTCAAGGAGAACAACTTCTAAATGTGCATTAATGTATATCCAGTCTGATTCACTGAAAACAACTACTGTACTTCGATTGTAGAATCAACCTTTACAACAACATAATCCAATTTATAACCATTCCATACTAGAAAACACACATATAAAGCTTTTGCTAGTACTAAAAATTTAGATGGTCAAAGTTGAAATTGTAGAGGTTAATATGAAGAGTCATTCTGTAGAATATTAGTGGGAGACTAAGTATGAACTCAACCAAGAGGGGCAAAATTATTCTATTATTAATCAATGATAATAATGCTCAATACTACAACTATACTAAAAACAGATTGAGTAAAAATAATAATAAATAAATACTACAACTATACTATATAAATAGGCAATAGAATCCTAAAAAAAGATTGATTTGGCACAAATTTGGAAATCACAAAAAAAAAAAAAAAAAGGAATAAAAAACTACTCACTAAACTCAATCCGAAATTCATTAAAATACTAAAAACACACCAATTTGGCATAAAAATAAAAATAAAATAAAATAAAATAAATTGAAAATGGTATATAATTATAATCATCAAATTAAGATAACTACCAAAAATTAGCTCAATCTGAGTCCATCTCTCTCGAACAAAAATCAAAATTTGACAGCACCCCTATAAACTGTAAAAGGCAAAATTGCAAAAACAAAACCAAATAATTTGAGAAATTAATATTGTACAGTAACATGCTTGCTACCTCAGTTGGTTAGGCATAAAATTTGTACTTCGCGCCAAATTAGACAACCCAGCTAGCGATCGCAAGGTTGCCACTTGCACATCCAAAAAATCTGTATTTTTGACATTTTTTCTTATTTTTTTTTTCTTGAACAACTAAAATTAAGAGTCGTTAAAACACTGACACAACTAGTACCTAAGACGACTTCTTAGTCCAAAAAGAAGACCAAAAAAAAAAAAAAAAAAGTTTAATTTCACTTTTTATCCCTTTTCTGCACAATACTAAAAATAGAGTCATTAAGGCATTGTCCCACTGAGAGCTCTACTGTCTCAAAATATTTATTTTTTATTTTTTAATTTTTGTTTTTCCCTTTAAAATATATATTTTTTATTTATAGAAAAACACATTTCTTTTCACCTCTATAATAAATACATCAACCCGTAATAGATATTGTATTGTTTAATTTTTTAAAAAAAATTTAATTTACTAAATTGAATTATTTCCAAATATATACTTCTGGTTGAAATTTTTTGTAATTGGGAAATAGTACAACAAACAATTTAATAATTTTTCCCAAAAAAAATCACATAATAAATATTTTATTACATATAATTTCATAATATCTTTTTTAAAAAAATGCAACATAAATTAAACGTTTTTCACAAATTTTCAATTAAATATTTCCTCAATTGCGTATTTGTCTCTTTATTGCAAATCTAGGCTTTGTGAGAGTAGATGTGTATCAGGTTTTGAATTAAAGTGGGAATGGCAAAGTCCATCTTCCAACATTAAAAAAAAAAAAAAAAAAAAAAAAATATTATTATTTTTGAATAACGAAAACGCACAATTGGAACATATGTGATGGATAAAATCTAAAAAGTTTAAAATGCTGATGTGATCATGTGACTCTTAAAAATGTTGGCGTAATAAATTAATCTAGAGAGCCAAATTTTAGAGATTTTACTGGACATATTGCTGCGACTCTCGAATAAGATGAGGAATGCCTGAAGATAAATTAATTATTTTATTTTTTATCCTAACAAAAAACTCACGCACTCACATGTTTTTTTAAAATTTTTTATTTAATGAAAACTTGAAATATCTCTAAAATTTTGAAAATGAAAATTATTACTGAATTATATAACCTTTTAAAAATTAATTAATTAAAGCATCAATTTAATTTTCATTGTAATGCTATAGGTCCACCGTACGTTGGACCTTATGGTAACATTACACATTGAAAAATGGGAGAGAGGAATGGCAACATCAAAGGAAGCGTACGGCGTTTGTTTCAGCCAGACAAGACGGCAACAATTATGAGAGGAGAGAGAAGCCAACTTAATTTTAGAGTGAGAAAGAAAGAGAAGAACATACCTATATATATATATACGTAGATGTAGAGAGAGAGAGAGAGACTCTTTTTCGGCTCGTCTGTTTTCGATGCGCATATATATATGTATGTGTGTGTGTGTTGTGTGTCCTTCGCTCTTCTCCCTTCCGCCTCGGTTCTCTCCAGTTATGACCAATGAGTTGTCAACTTTGTCCCACTGTCCCTCTCGTGAGTCTTACACGTAAACGATTTTCAGTTTTTATTTTTATTTTTTTTATTAAAAAGTAAAAAATAATTAAAAAAATTACATTAATGTAGTCCCTGCGGCCATGTAATATGTAATTTCAGCATCTGGAATAGATATTCATTGTGCTCAAGAATTTAAAATTTCATTTTAGTTGTGAAATTTCACAGCAAAATATTGAATTTTCTCACAAGTAAAAACTAGTAAAATTTTATTATTACATTAGTAAATTTCATTATTAAAGTGGATAAAATTTAAAGTATAAAACAACAATCATTTTGATAAGTGAGTGATACAGTACCTTTTGCGCCAATTCAAATTGAATTTGAACATAAATAATGTGCAACTTAAACTTAATACTAACCAACTTATATTTTACTTATTTACCAAAAAATAAACCTATATTATGATCAGTGATAATATCATTATCTTAAATATAATAATAATATGATCTTAAAGCAATCTTGTTCAAATTTTTATTCAAGTTTAATTAAAGGCGAATTCAAAAATTGTCAATAGAGTTGGTTAATAATTTTTTTTTTTTTGGTGAACTAATACTAGTAATATATATATATATATTGTGATATGGGCTCAAGCCCACCCCTTAGATACACCCTTACACATTTAATGGACGAGAAAGTATATATTTTTCAGATGAACAAGAAAAATATTATTACTCCTTGTCCCATTTTGTAATTTTGTTATTTCATCACATAATTTGTTATGAATTTACAACTTCTATGAAAGTACTTGGATTCCTCCTTTTTCTTTTTTCATTTTTTTTCTTGTTTTTAAAAGAGAATTTATATATATATATACATATTATGGAGGAAAATTTTCTTACCAATGGCAAGACGCCAGGTGTACACCATTATATAAAGAAACCAGTCCAAAAAAACGTGAACGGAAAATGAAAGCCCAAAATCTTTTTTATATTTCATTTTTGAGTGTGACATACCGACCAAACATT